GCAGCCCAGAATTGCATTGGCTTTTTTAGCTGCCGCTGGGATGGGTTCTGTAAATCCAGGACCGTCCCTGGAAAATACGGTTGTCTGGGTCTGGGGTTGTTTATACTTTGATTATGTATTTTATGGTTTTATATTTTGATTTTATTCTGTGAGACCTCCAGGTTTAGGGCGGTATATAAATAATAAAATAATAATAACCATGCATGGTGTCTTGAGCTCTGTGGAGGAAAGGTGGATTATTAATAGAAGAAAAAGAATAATAAAATAAAGTCCTGCTACCCATTTCAGCTCTTCTGTTTCCCTGCCCCTCTCATTCTGGTAGTCTTCTAATATGCTGCTTAAGAAGCAGAGAATGGTAGAGTTGAAAGGGGCCATGAGAGTAATCTAGTCTAACCCCCTGACATCATGGGCATAGCCAATTTTTTTGGGGGGGGCAGGATTTTGTTAGGGGGGCAGAACAGACATGATAAGATTACTACTACTACTAATTTATTTATACCCTGCCCATCTGGGTGGGTTTCCCCAGCCACTCTGGTAGCTCCCAACAGAATTAAAAGCACAATAGAACTTCAAACACTAAAAACTTCCCTAAACAGGGCTGCCTTCAGGCGTCTTCTAAAGGTTATATAGTTACTCATCTCCTTGTCATCTGATGGGAGGGCATTCCACGGGGTGGGCGCCACCACCGAGAAGGCCCTCTGCCTGGTTCCTTGTAACTTGGCTTCTCGCAGTGAGGGAACCGCCAGAAGGCCCTCAGAGCTGGACCTCAGTGTCTGGGCAGAACGATGGGGGTGGAGACGCTCCTTCAGGTCTACTGGGCCGAGGCTGTTTAGGGCTTTAAAGGTCAGCACCAACACTTTGAACTAAGAGGGGGTGCTCCAGCCCCATTATCAGTCTTGTACCTGTAGCTGTGCTCTCCCCCACCTCATTTAACTTCTGCTCTGTTTTCACTCTGTGGTCTCCCTGCTCCCATCTGAAATTCAGGTTTCAACCTGCTCTGTAGGAAAATGAGCCACGCTGCTCTAGTTAAACTCTCCACACTCAACCAGCTATATAAAAAACAAACAAGCCCACGCACTGCCACCCAACTTTTTATTTGAATAGCTTCTCGAAATAGGTGTGTTTCCTGGAAGGTGACCAAGGAAGCGGGTTCTGAAAGGGAGTGGTGACAAGTGGTTGGAGGTAAACACAGATAAGTGTTTGGGAGTGTGGACACGCACACACTTTTGGAAGAGCAAATGGTTGGAGGAAACACACCTCCCTCCATATTTGGCTGTTTGCCCCCCACCCCAGAGCCAATCAGGGTGCTTAGAAATACGGTAAGTTGTTTTTAAAAACTTGTGAATTTGTGTTGTCCCTTTCTCATCCCTGACACAGGGACTTTTCAGTGACTCATAGCCTGTGTGCACACAAAAATAATGCTTTTCGTTTCACCCAGGCCAGAAGTGCAGCCAGTATTTGTGCTGGGGGGGGGGCGGAAACCCACCTGTCATTATCCTCTGTCTGGCTCTGTCTAACAGATTCAGAATGAAATGTCTCAACAACAGTTGTTTTAAATTGCTTTTTCTTTTCTTTTTACCCCAAGTGCTTAGAACAACCTGCCCAAATCTTTCTACAATTTGTTGTTGTTGTTTAGTCGTTTAGTCGTGTCCGACTCTTCGTGACCCCATGGACCAGAGCACGCCAGGCACCTCTGTCCTCCACTACCTCCCGCAGTTTGGTCAAACTCATGCTGGTAACCTCGAAAACACTATCCAACCATCTCGTCCTCTGTTGCCCCCTTCTCCTTGTGTAGCACCCTGCTTGTGGTTAACGCTTAGCTGGAATGAAATATTCAACGCAGCAATAGAGAAATTAAATAATTATTTATTTGTCAGACAAATAAATGAGAGGCACAGTGGTATATGATTACCAAGCTCTGGCCTGGCCTCCTGCCATTATGGCCAGCACTTATATTCCCTTAATCCAGCCCCCTTTGCTCCTCCTGTGGCTGCCTCTGTCCCATCAGCCTGGTTGAAATTCCTATTGGCTGATTGGTATAACCAATCACAAAAATACACTCATATCCTCCTGTCCTTATAAGGGAGACAAAGAGCTATATATAAATGACAAATAAGTAATAATATATCTTACATGGAATCTTAATTACCAGCTCACCTCTTGCCCTCCTTGCCCTATTGCCTTCTAAAACAAATGGTTAATCTTAAATTTTTATCTTAAACATATGTCAAGGATCTTGAGTTTCACATCAACATTGAAAGATCTCCTTCATTTGAAGGTCTTTAAACAAAGGCCTGACAACCATTTGTCATGAGTGCTCGATTGGCGTCTCATTTCTGGCAGGGGGCTGGGCTCAATGGCCCCCGTGGTCCACTCCAACTCTAGGACTCTATGATTCTATGAAATAAGAATCTAACATCTAAATTTGTTACTTTCTAAATCCTTTGCATAGTTACATTTATGCCAATATATTTCATACATTATCATAGATAGCTTTTTAGAAGGATAAATTTCCTCAAAGTGAAAGGAAGGAACAGTTTACAGCCCCTGTTCACACTCCCCCCCCTTCTCCAGCCAGTTGCTTGTTTTCCATGTGCTCTTGACCTTTTGTCCTGTGGCTCAAGTTTAAGGCACATGGTTTTATTTTACTATTTACTCATTCCTAATTATATTTATCTCTGCCTTTGTTATCTTCTGTAACATGTAGGGTCAATATGACTTTGAGAATTGTTTTCTGCTATAAATCAAGGGGGGGCCCCTTGTCTTAGGAGAATGGCCAAGGTTTTCTCTATAAACAGCTGGCCTTCTTGCCTGGCATGAAACATTTGAAAATCTAAGCCCATTTAATTTAGGAACCTGATCAAATATAAGCCAATATATGCCTTGATTAAAAATGCAGTCTATATTCAGATGCCACACTTGTGCCCTCCATCTTTCCCAGCATCAGTGTCTTCTCCAGGGAGTCTTCTCTTCTCATGAGGTGGCCAAAGTACTGGAGCCTCAGCTTCACGATCTGTCCTTCCAGTGAGCACTCAGGGCTGATTTCCTTAAGAATGGATGCGTTTCCTTTTAGTTAAATATTTTCATTCTTTTACTTGATTTTTTTTTGGGGGGGCAGCTGCCTCACCCCAACCCCTGGCTACATTCATGGAGGAGAATGCATTTGGAAGATGAAAAGGAATGAGTGGGTATGTTTCACCTGAAAAAGAGAAGACTCAGAGGTGATGGGACAGTCATGTTTGACTAGCTGGAGCGCTGCCACTTAGACGAGAGGAGGGAATAGAAGCTTGGCGGTTTTTTTGGTTTTTTGTTTATAATTTTTATTAAATCTTCTGTTTTACAATTTAGAATATTCATTTAAACAACCTTAAAATACTGATGACTTCCCTTCTTCTCTTCCCATGGTTCATTTTGCATAACACAAATCCCCACATATCTTATATAAATTAAACCATTCAGTATTCCATTATTACATCCATCAAAACTTATTTACATTGTTGAATTTATCTTAATGCAGCCAACGTTTTCAGGTGTACACAATTCCCCCCCCCAATACCTCCCAGTCTTCTTTAAATATACAGTCATACCTTGAGCTGCGTTTGCTTCATGTTGTGTTTTTTCTGGTTACGAATGCGGCAAACCTGGAAGTTCGCCACTTCACAAATGCGCAGGAGCAATCTGTGCACTTCGCACATGTTCAGGAGCGCTATATTGTGCCACGCGCATGTGCAGCACTCTACTTACGGACTTTTCGGGGTGCGAACGGCACCCTGGAATGGATCGTGTCTGTAAGTAGAGGTGCCACTATATGTTCTTCTTGTTCTCTTATTCTGTATGTTAGGTCTGCAAGCTGCGCATATTCAATCACCTTAAGTTGCCATTCTTCTTTGGTTGGGACCTCGCTCGTTTTCCATTTTGGGGCTAACAAAACATGGGCTGCAGTAGTGACATACAGAAATAACCTTATTTGACACGTGGGAATTTCCGTCTGAATTATCCCCAACAAAAAGGACACTGGCTTTTTTGGAAAAGCGCTTTTAAACATTTTTTAAAATTCATTCTAAATTATTTCCCAATACTCTTTTACCCTTGTACAGGTCCACCACATATGAAAGAACGTCCCCTCGACCTCATTGCATCTCCAGCACTTCTCTAATTCAGTCTTATACATCTTAGCAAGCCTACTTGGAGTCAGATAACACCTGTAAATCATTTTAGATAATTCTCCCTCAGGGAATAACATGCTGTAAACTTCAGATTGCTCTTTCCGGAAAAAGCTCGTTTCTTGCTGCACCCAAGCCAATGGTTTCAAATTACAAGAAAGGTGATTCTTACTAGACATGAGGGAGAACTTCCTGGTGATAAGAGCTGGTATCACCTTCATTGGAGGTTATTAAACTGAGGCTGGATTGCTTAGCTGAGATTCCTGCATGACATTGCAGGAGCTGGGTACCTTTCAACTCTTCAGTTCTGTGATTCCATGACAGGGGAGGTGGGATCAGGGGCAGAGAAAGGGGCGGTGGGGGTGGTTCGCCCCGGGTGTCATCACTGAGGGGGGTGACATTCGGCTCGCCGCCCGCCTGCCCACGACTCCCAAGTCTACCCCAAACCATTGGGGGAAGGAGCAGAGCTGCGCTGCCTTACCGGCAGCCTTCCCCCCTTCCCCCTTCATTTTGACAGCTCAGGGGAGGTTTGGGAGTCGCGGGTGGGTGGCGTGCCATTGCCTCCCACTCCTGGGCTCCTTCCTTGGGGAGGAAAGCCTCCTCCAAGCTGTCAAAAGGAAGAGAGAAGGGAGGAAGGCTGATGGCCAAGCGGTGCAGCTCCCTCCCCACTGCCGCCCAGGAAGCAGCCCGCCATGGGTGGCTCGCTCCACCCCCCATGGGTGGCTTGCTCAGCCCCCACGGGCATCTCGCCCCCTGGGACGCTTGCCCTGCCCCCATGGCCCCGCCCCTGGGTGCCAGAGAAGCTAGCTCCGCCTCTGGGCGGGATGCATGATTCTGCAGACAGCCACCCATAATAACCAGGGCAATGAGGACTCTGGAGGAACTGGGTGGGGTGTGCTGTGGGAAGGGTATTTAAGTAGGCCAGGAGAAGCTAACAGCAGGAGCCAGGAACCACAAAGAGCAGAGGAGAGTGTGATTTCTCCTCTCAGATTTCACCAGGACCCTGGAAATCTGGAAAAGAGAGAAAAGGTGAGATTGGAGCTGCTGCAGGGTGATTGCGTGGGAACAGGATGTTGGCATCCGTCTGTCTCAAGAGACAGTGGAGGAGTGGAGAAGATGGCTGTGCTGCTTTTTTATATATTGCTCTTTGTTAGAAAATCTGGTAACAATTTGCCAGGTTTGTTTCCTTTTCCAAAGAAACACTGTCTTACAAACCTCAGCTTTTTTCTGTTTGAGCACAGTTTATGAGACCATATTGTTTTCTTAATCCCTCTAATTTTCTATAATGGTTTTGTAGAGCAACCCCCACAGCTGCTCAGTTTGGACCATAAGTTGCCTTCTCCCTTTGCTTATTTTAATGATGACTTTTGAATTATTTGACCTCTCATTATTGCTTTTGAAGCCTACCATACAGTAGTTTTTACCAGCTTTACAGAAAGGTTAACATGGAAATGTTAGTTAAATATAAATTAAAAGAAAAACAAAATGCAACCACAAAAACTGCAATTTTTACCAGCACAGAGAGGGCTCTCTCTCTCTCTCTCTCTGTTAGTTGCCACTGAAGTCCCTCCAAAAACTTTGAAAATAAGCCCAAGAGTCCCAAATCCCAGCAGCAAGTGAAAACCCGTGTGGACATGTGACTCAGTTAAGAAACAAGCAGAGACAGACAGGAGGATAAGAGACTGCAGCCAACATGGTCTATTCAGGGGCAGAGGAAGGGGGTGCGGTGGGGGTGGATCGCTCCGGGTGTCTTCGCTGTCAGGGGGAGCTGTGCTGCTTTGCCGGTGGCATTCCCCCCTTTCCCCTTCGTTTTGCCAGCTGGGGGAGGCTTAGGAGTCGCAGGCGGACAGCACACTAAATGTCCGCCATCGGTGTCTCATTCCACCCCTGTGAGCAGCTTGCTTCGCCCCCGGCTGCACGGCACATTCACTGCTCCGTGCACCTGAGCAGCTATCCCGCACCTGGGAGGGCACCAGTGTGGTGTAGTGGTTAAGAGTGGTAGACTTGTAATCTGGTGAACTGGGTTCGCGTCTCCGCTCCTCCACCTGCAGCTGCTGGGTGACCTTGGGCCAGTCACACTTCTCTGAAGTCTCTCAGCCCCACTCACCTCACAGAGTGTTTGTTGTGGGGGAGGAAGGGAAAGGAGAATGCTAGCCGTTTGAGACTCCTGAAGGGGAGTGATAAAGCGGGATATCAAATCCAAACTCAGCACAAGATATTATGGGCTGTCCCGTAAATCCACTGGATGAAATAGCAGAAGAACGTTGCCTCAGGAGAGTGAGGAAAATCCTCAGGGATGATTCACACCCTGGCCGGGCAATTTGATGATCTCCTGCCCTCGGGCAGAAGATATAGAAGCAGGATTAGTCGCACCAACACGGTGAAGAACGTGAAGAACAGCTTCCTGTCCGTGGGCTGTTAGGCTGCTGAATGAAGAGAACAATAGGGCAACTGACTTTCGGGTTTGGTGGGTGTGGGTCAGTAAACAAGGGGAATTAAGACCAAGAGAGCTGAGTGGGGAGTGCTTGTGTAATCTCACTATATACAAGTTGTACAAGTGACAATAAAGTATTTCAATTTCAATTTCTTCTCCACCGCTGGGTCTATTCTGCTGCTGCCAACTTGCTGCCTGAGCATGGGATTGCTTCTCTCTGCCTCTCACTCCCGGCATGTCTCCCTCTGTCTGAAAGTAAACTCTGAAACACACACCCCTCCCAAGACACACAAAAGAATGTTTTCCAGTTTCCGACATTCAATATTTCTACATGAGTTGGATAGCTGGGGAGAGGGACTCTGTAAACAGAGGAAGAGAGCAGTAAGCAAAGGGCAAATTGTCCATATCTTTAGACGACTGAGATTAGGAAGGCCAACCCACATCATTGCCCTTGGAGAAGACAAGGAAATGATTTTTAAGAGGTGACCTGAGCACCTGGCAAAGTGTATTTGGAAACAGAAAGAAGAGGGTGATTGGTGTCAGGGTGTAGGTGTCTTTTGATGCAAGAATAAATGTTTGGTTATTTGCTTTTTGCAAAGCAAGGGTGAGGAGGCAGTACACACCTACACACTCTGGCCAAAGAACAACAGCCCCGGATCCAAAAACCTCTTTGCTAATAGTTAACATTTTAAATTCCGGGCGTCAACCATAGCATCTCAGCTGGCTGCAAGCCAGAGGGCCTGGTTGAGAGCCCGGCTCTCACTGCGAATGAGCCCTGTGGTCATGTTGGGCCTAACCCTTGTCACCTCACAAGTAGACTAGTGGATGCTTGGTGAGACCAGAAGCCTTCTTGGAAAGGGTGGCTTCCATATGGGTAGGGTTCAGAGTGCAACATGGTGGCTAAGACATAACATAGCAGTGGGGGCTAGATGTCACCTCTGCCTTGGTTACCCCCAAGTGATGGGAATCAAGTCTGTTTCGTTCTGAACAATTTGGTTCCTTCAGCTCCACAGCAGAGACTTTGGGACAGGGGATGTGTGAGTTATGTTACTTTGGGGTGAGTGGGATGATGGCATTTGGGTCTCCCATATGCTCCAAATCATAGAGTGATAGAATTGCAGAGTTGGAAGGGGCCTGATCCTCTGCATTACTGGAATCACACCTGAATGTTCCGACTTGGGACCGTCCTGATTTTGTTTGTTTCTTTGATAACTGAGAAATTCTTACCCGAGATATGCACCCAGGTTCCAACTGGTAACTCAGAGCAGGGCCTTTAGTGTGTCTGCCTCTGATCTGCGGAACAGCATTTCTGTCAAGATAGGACAGGCACCCAGAAAAAAATAGAAGACATCTTTCTGTTCCAACAAGTTTTTGCCTTGACAGTCTGTTTGGCACTGGGTTTTTTATTTTGTAATTTGCTACTATTTGTTTTAGAATATTTTTGAACTGTTTTTAATTGCATTTTGTGTTGAAAGCAATAAAATCATAATGATAGGAAGAAAAGTACATTTATTTTTCTAATACATGTGTTTCTCTTTTAATTGTGACAGCAAGTTTGTTAAAAAGAAGATGGCATCTTCCAGAACACAGGAAAGAAGTAAAATCAAACCACCTCAGAAATATCTCAAAGAAAGTATCCTTGTAGAAAGGGGTGAACCTTCTGTTTATGCATTAAAACTGAAAAAGGAGTCTGAAACGTCTCCAAAGTACCATCTAGGAAAAGAGAACTTGCAGATCGCCAACAAAGTGATCATGATGATGGGAGCGTCTGGATCAGGGAAAACCACTCTCATCAATGGGATGATCAACTACATCCTGGGCGTGCAATGGGGAGACGAATTCCGGTTCAAACTTATCGATGAAGTGACCGGCAGAAACCAAGCAGAAAGCCAGACATCCGAAGTGAGGGCTTATGTGGTGAACTATCAAGAGGGTCTCAAGATCCCTTGCTCTCTCACTTTTGTTGACACTCCAGGATTCGGAGACACGAGAGGAATAGAACAGGACAAAAAGTTAGTGGAGAAGATCCGTGAGTTTTTCTCCATCCCAGGAGGAATCGACCACATCGATTGTGTCTGCTTTGTGGTCAAGGCTTCCACAAACCGCTTAACAGCAGCCGAGAAATACGTCTTTGATTCCGTGCTCTCCATCTTTGGGAAAGATATCAAGGAGAACATCCAGTTCCTGATCACCTTTGCAGATTCACAGACTCCCCTGGTCCTTGAGGCCATTAAGACGGCCGACGTTCCATGCGCCAAAGATGGCAAGGGGAACCCCGTGCATTTCAAATTCAACAATTCCGCCCTGTTTGCCAACAATGTCATGGGGGACAGGGAGAGCCCTAACTTTGACGAAATGTTTTGGAAAATGGGTATAATCAGCATGAAGACCTACTTTGACTCGCTAAGCAAACTGAACGCGAGGAGTTTGACTTTGACGAAGGAAGTTCTCAGGGAACGGAAAGAGTTGGAGACGGTTGTGCAGGGCCTGTTGCCCCAGATCAAAACCGGGCTGGTCAAACTGGAAGAACTGAAGGAAACGGAACAAGTCCTTGACCAGCACAAAGCTGACATGGCGGCCAACAGAGATTTTGAGTATGAGATCCCAGTCACCGTCAAAGTGAAGCAAGATCTCTCTGGAGCTCATCAATATGCAACCAACTGCAAGAACTGCAAGGTCACCTGCCACTATCCTTGCTGGGGTACCTGGGACCGGCTGAACCGCCTTTGCTCCGCTATCAGTTTCTTCTCAGGAAAATGCAACGTTTGTCCCAGCAAGTGCTCAGCCAGCGACCACCACAACCAGAATTACCAATTTAAGGACGAAATAAGGAAAGAGAAGAAGACATATGCGGAGCTGAAGAAAAAGTATGAGCACGCCTACCATGGGGTTATGACAGCAGAGCAGCTGATTTGGCACCTCAGCCAGGAGTACATCAAAGTAAGAGAAAATTTGTTCGAAAACATCGAGAGAGCGTCTCAAAGCCTGCGGCGCCTGGAGGAAATTGCCCTGAAGCCCAACCCGCTCTCCACCCCAGAATACATCGACATGCTCATTGCGTCTGAAGAGGAGGAATGCAAGCTTGGATATCAGAAAAGGATCCAGTTGCTCAAGGAGGTGAAGAAAGAAGCAGAGATCATACAGAAGATTGCGAAGAAGGAGGCTCTTCTGCCAGAGGAGGAGGAGATGATGAGCGAAAGGGGGGACAAAGGAAAATTCCGCTTGATAGCCAGATATTGGAAGAGAAGGGCGATGAATATTCTCCCTAAATGAAGGGGCAACACAACAGCGCCTGTTCAGCCTTAGATCTCTGTATAAGCGCCCCCCCCCCATATCCTTTTCGCTAAGTGCAGGGACTCTGAGGCTGGATCTACACTGACCTGTTCAAAGTTATTAGAACGATATCAGATATATTGTTCTAAAACGTCACAGGGCAGACTTGGAAAAATAAAGTGTTTCTTAGCTCCATCCAAGCGCTGTCTCCCTACTGCTACTCTTCCTCTCTGTAGGCGGAGAAGAGATGCAGAATCTCCTCCTTCCCCCTCCAGATTGCACATTTAATTAGGGATTAAACCCCACCCCCACTTAAACATTAGCTGTGCCCCTGAACTGATCTGGGGTGCTTGACCCCTGGCCTGACTGATCCAGGGGGAGATCAGGGTGACTCTGCACAGCCCTAATGGTTAAACAGCTCATGCTTTCTTAATATTTAGGATAATTTACTATATATCTGGAAAAGCTTTTAACTAGTTGGAATCAGTGGAAGTTGTTTTTTTTTGGGGGGGGGACAATAAAAGTAGAATTGCATAATAATTAAATAATATTACTTTTGCATGTCATAATTATGCTCTGCCCCCACAGCTGGAGGCAGCAGTTCTTCTGAATAGCAGGTGCTGGAAGCTGCAGGAGGGGAGAGCACTGGTCTTGCGTTCGAGTCCTGCCAGGGGGCTAAACCTTCGGGAGAACAGGATGCTGAGCTAGATGGGTGGTGCGCACGCACTCTCTCTCTCTCTCTCTCTCTCTCTCCCCGCAATGTTAATATTTTATTGAAAGAATTTCAGCTATAAAAAAATTAAGTGATACAGAGAAAAAAGTGGGGAAGGGGGGATAACAAAGATGTGTAAGAAAAAATAACAATATACAAAAATGCAATGCAATATACTCTCAAACATTCTTATATAAATTGATACAGGGTTGTTATCCTAATACACATGTAGCTGTTACTAGCCATAAACTCATTTCAGATGTTATCATGTTTATCCAAACAATGTCAATGGCGGTGAAAAATGGATTGCAGAGATGGAATATAACATCAAATGGATTTGGGTGTGTAAAGTAAAAATAAAAAGGGGGGGAGGACGAGCAGCTCTATTCTACAAAAGGTTTATGATGGAAACTTAAGAGCGGACTCTTCCCTAGTCTTTATCATCCTCGGACTAAACTGAATTTAATTTAATTGGAAGTGTAACCCTTTATCTTTGGCTGAATGGAGGGATAAGAGGAAGCTGTGAGCTTACCAAAAAAGGTTCATTACTGAGTTATTTTAAGTTCGACAGCTTGCTCTACTCCCGGGCTGAGAGAAAATTGGTGAAAACAGGATATTTTTTAGGGACACTATGATTTTTGCAGCTGCTGCTAATGTTGCAAAACACTGAAGCTCCGGACAGAGCAATGGAGAACTTCTGAAACAACAATGGGACACTAGCTCTGCCCAAGGAATGATGGAGAACAGCAACTGACAAAAGACAGACAATATATTACAAGGACAGGAAGAAACATCATGGACAGAATACCAAAAAGAACAAAGAGTTTAAATGCTTCACCTGCAGGACTATAAATCACTGAATGTGTTAATGAGAAGGAAGTCGTTAAAATTACAGTTGGGGTATAAGGGTTTGTTTTTCTGACTGGAGTGTGGTGGAAATCTATAAGATTTTGCAACGCAGAAATAAAGTAAATCATCAAACTGTTAATTCTAGCTCGTGAGGGGGCATCTAAATTGTATAATTTGGCTTTTGAATGATTCATATTATTAATGGTATTATAATTTGGCACTGTTATAAAGAGGCTTTTATTGGAATATTGTAATTGAAAACTAATACAAATGATTTTCCAAACCATGTCTTCGTCTGTAAGCAGCCCGTTCCTAAGGGGCGAGTGTTGTCATAATGTCAAGGTATTTCTTACAGGGTCCCGGGTCTGGATTCTTCCCATTCGTCCCTCTCTCTCTCTCTCCGGCCAGGCGTCTCTTTGCTCTGTGCGCCCCCTGGAGGCTTTGGGGGGGAGGTCCCCGCCCAGAGCATCTTCCTGGCCTCCCCCCACGAAGAATAATTCTGGGGGTGCAGCAGGGCAGGAACAGCCCCCCTCCCCCTGCTGAGTCTCTCGGGCAGACCTGGGGGGGGGGGGCTGAGGAGGACCAGACCGGCTTGCAACTCGCATCCCAAGCAGCACCGCCAGCCTCTTCTGGAGCTTTAGAAAAACATGAACTTGGGCGGGAGCCGCTGAGAACGGAGATATGGCCTCTGACTCGCGCGAGGGTGGCGGGTGTACACGGGACTGGCGTGAATTCCCACGTGCGCGTGTCTGCGCGCATGCAGGGGTTGAAGTGCAGCGAAATCTCCGCTTCCTGTCCTCTTTAGGAATCCAGCTCAGCTCCTTTTTTTTAATTATTAGTTTTCACATATTACAGTACTGTACTTTACAATACAGATGTACCAAAGTCAAGACCATTGCCTTCCCACCCACCCCCCATACATTTACATTTCCATTTCCTCAGTCCATCATATTATTCATTTCTGGAGGCCCCAGCCGCTCCCAGAGATGCCATGGCTCCCCTATGGGCCACATGGGTCCCACGGTCTTGGGGTTTCTCCTCCTGGCTGAAGGAGGGTGGCACCTTTGGGTGTCAGCGCTCACGGGGTATCCACAGCCACCTTCCTGCCATGATGGCTTTGCCTCCACAGGGCAGCCTCTTTCCTCGCCATGTTTGCCCAACAGAGGAGGCCTCTCCATTGGAAGAGGCCAGGCAAGCGGCTTCAGAAGAGGAAGCCATTTTGGAGAAGAAACAAGCTTGGCTGTTGTCTGCTGGGGGTCTCCTGCCTTTCTTCCAAGGCTTCCTGGGGGCTGCAATGGCCAGAGGAAGAGACAGCCCCCCCCCCAGCCTGAATCCCCTGCAGGGCCCTGGGCAGCAACCAGAGCCTGCATCAGTTTCCTTTCCCAAGGCCTTGGAGGAACCTTGGGGTGCGGAAGGAGGAACCCCAAGTGGAGATCAGGCTCCTGACAAATGGGGAAAGGAACTTTATATGGCCTCTGTGAAAGAAAACTCTGGGTTGAGAGACTACTCAGCAGCCCAGCTCGGTGGGGTACAAGTCCCCCACTGGTCCATGTGGTCAGTAAAAGTTGGAAATTCCAGCCAAGTAATTTGGAGCAAAACAGCAGTCAGTAGACTTAGAGCCTTTATTGTTGCGCAACAGTATGAACTCTGAGCATGGGGCGACATTAACTTTTAAAACTTTCCCACCATATCCCAGAATATCCACCCTCCCTTCCCCACAGGTGGGCGGGGTTTGCAGCACCGAGCGGGGCTCACCTGGGCGGGTGCCAGCTACCTGCTTGATCCGGGCTCTGACCTGCCCTTGGCCAGGGAGGACAATGGACGGCCGGCCAGGGGTGGGCCTAAGGCCAAAAGAAAAGAGGATGACTCCGTTGCTCAAGCCTCTTTTGCTGTTCTTCTTCCAGGATCAGGATCAAGATCAGGAGCGTGTCCAGGCGGCTGGATTGAGGTAAGTAGCCGGCCTTCTTTGCTTTGCCTGGATGGGGGGCGGAGGAGAGATTTGGCCCCTCCACCAGGCTAGGCCGCATTTTTGGCGTCCTCGGTTGGGCACGTTGCGGCCTTTTCGGCTTTTTCCCGCAGCGTGGGAGGGAGCTTGACTGCTCTGCCACTGGCTGCTGGCCTGAGCCCCATGTTTTATATTAAGATTTCCTTTATTTTGAATGAAGGAGGACACACAAAGGAGGAGGACAGTTTTCCAGTATTCACGCGTTCCAAGAGACCGGAGACTTTTTTGTTAGGAATCATGACAACGGAAATCAAGAAGTCAAATAGACCATTATTTATGTATGCCACAACTGCTGCCAGGATTCTAATTGCGAAAAGTTGGAAAAGCGAAACCATCCCCTCAAAACTCAAATGGCAAACGAAATTGCCAGCATACTTACAGTTCAGGGCCGTGTTCAGAAAGTGGTGGTGGGGGATGAGTGTTCAGACCTCTGGGCTCTCACTTGTGGGGTGCCTCAGGGTTCTGCCCTCTCCCCCATGCTTTTCAACATTTACATGCAGCCGCTGGGAGAGATCATCAGGGGGTTTGGGCTGGGTGTTCATCAGTAAGCGGATGATACCCAGCTCTACCTCTCTTTCAAATCGGAAGCAGTGAAGGCGGTGAAGTTCCTGTGTGAGTGCCTGGAGGTGGTTGGAGGATGGATGGCGGCTAACAGATTGAGGTTGAATCCTGAAAAGACAGAAGTACTGTTTTGGGGGGACAGGAGGCAGGTGGGTGTGGGGGATTCCCTGGTCCTGAATGGGGTAACTGTGCCCCTGAAGGACCAGCTGCGCAGCCTGGGAGTCATTTTGGACTCACAGCTGTCCATGGAAGCGCAGGTCAATTCTGTGTCCAGGGCAGCTGTTATCCAGCTCCATCTGGTACGCAGGATGAGACCCTCCCTGCCCGCAGACTGTCTCGCCAGAGTGGTGCATGCTCTGGTTATCTCTCGCTTGGACTACTGCAATGCGCTCTATGTGGGGCTACCTTTGAAGGAGACCCGGAAACTACAACTAATCCACAGTGCAGCAGCTAGACTGGTGACTGGGAGCGGCTGCCGAGACCACATAACACCGGTCTTGAAAGACCTACACTGGCTCCAAGTACGTTTCTGAGCACAATTCAAAGTGTTGGTGCTGACCTTTAAAGCCCTAAACGGTCTCAGCCCAGGATACCTGAAGGAGCATCTCTACCTCCATCGTTCTGCCCGGACACTGAGGTCCAGCTCCAAGGGCCTTCTGGTGGTTCTCTCACTGAGAGAAGCCAAGTTACAGGGAACCAGGCAGAGGGCCTTCTTGGTAGTGGCACCCGCCCTGTGGAACACCCTCCCACCAGATGTCAAAGAGAAAAATAACTACCAAACTTTTAGAAGACATCTGAAGGCAGCCCTCTTTAGGGAAGCTTTTAATGTTTAATAGGTTACTATATTTTAGTGTTTTGTTGGAAGCCGCCCAGAGTGGCTGGGGAAACCCAGCCAGATGGGCGGGGTATAAATAATAAATTATTATTATTATTATTTATTATTATTATTATTATTATTAGCAAGAATAACCAGAGCAGTAAGAGGAAATACAAGATGGTAATAAAGAATGGAAAGTAATCAAAGAATATCTTAAAGATTACTGTGATAACAAAAGCTTTATGGCAGATGATAATAATATTTTATTTATATCCTGCCCACCCCAGCCGAAGCCGGGCTCAGAGCAGGTAACAACAGTATATCGAATGAGTCCTTTAATATAAGGAAATATTGGAGAAAACTAGAACCAAAAAGGAGAATGTGAGGTGTGGGGGGGCGAAGATTTAGGAAACTGTAAAAAATTTAAGTTCAAAATAGTACAATGAGTATAGTCGGAAGGCTTTTCTTTATCGTAAATAACATCATTTTCTATTCTTCTACATTTCTCTCTCTCTTTTCTTTCATTTATACTTTTTGTGTATTCATAATCTGTAATGTTTGAATGTAATGTTTTATATTGTATGTATTTTTAAAATTTCGGTATAATAAAGGTTTAAAAATTATCTAAAACAGGAAGATACCTGTTTCTCGAAGCTGCCAGCATGACTTTGACCAAACTGCGGGAGGCAGTGGAAGACCGAGGTGCCTGGTGTGCTCTGGTCCAGGGGGTCATGAAGAGTCGGACATGACTAAACAACAACAACAAAACAGGAAGAGGGGGGAGGGGCCTGCAAGGAATGCAGGGAAGGAAGGATCTCTCAGGGTGGGAGACGGGGGAAAGAGGGGGGCACCCAGGGGAGAGCTGGGGGAGCCTGCCTTTCTATGGGTTGATAAATGATATGATATATATGATACAAAGGTGATAAAGGGTATTTTTAGTTATTCTCCCCCCTTCTCTTTTTTATACACTTGTGTTTTGTAAGGGTTGTTTGATATTTTTTCCTTTTTTCCTTTTTGGTTGTCCCTCAGTGTGAATTCTTTGATGGGAAGTGAGAGAAATCCCCCGACTGAAGCTCTTTCCCACATTCAAAGCACTGATAGGGTTTCTCCCCTGTATGAATTCTTTGATGGGAAGTGAGACTGTCCCTTCCGACTGAAGCTCTTTCCACATTCGAAGCACTGATAGGGTTTCTCCCCTGTATGAATTCTATGATGGGAAGTGAGAGATGCACTTTGACTGAAGCTCTTCCCACATTCAAAGCACTGATACAATTTCTCCCCTGTATGAATTTTTTGATGGGAAGTGAGATGGGAACTTTTTCTGAAGCTCTTCCCACATTCCAAGCACTGATAGGGTTTCTCCCCCGTATGAATTCTTTGGTGGGGAGTGAGATGATGCTTCCGCCTGAAGCTCTTTCCACACTGCAAGCAATGATAGGGTTTCTCCCCCGTATGAATTCTTTGATGGGAAGTCAGATGGTGGCTGCAACTAAAGCTCTTTCCACATTCCATGCAGTTATAGGGTTTCTCTCCTGTATGAATTCTTTGATGGGAAGAGAGCGTTGTCCCCTCCTTGAAGCTCTTTCCACATTCGAAGCACTGATAGGGTTTCTCTCCTGTATGAATTCTATGATGGGAAGTGAGATGGGAGCTCTGACTGAAGCTCTTTCCACATTCTCTGCACTGATACAATTTCTCCCTACTCTTTGTTCTTTCGTGTGAAGTGAAGCTATCCCTCCTAACGAAGCTCTTTCTTTGATGGGAGGTGGACTGGGAGCTCTGACGGATGTTCTCTCCACACTCTGAATATTTATATGACTTCTCTGCTATGTGGATTCTGTTCTGGTCCCCCTTTTCTTCCCTTCCAATTCATCACCATCTGCAATGAAGAGAAAAGCTAATTAGAACCTCAAAAAGAAATGGTGCTCCAGAATATTGAACAAATCCCCCCCCCACCTCACTGTGAGACTTGAGAGTGCTCCGTTTCAGCCTCAAGCGGACATCCATGGAGTCTAACTTAATGTCATTGTTGATGTGTGGCATCTTCAACCCCTCAGCGTTTCAGCACGCATGCGGGTACATGACTCTCTTGAAACCGGTGGGGCCACACTGCCAGCATACTGTGACAGGTGACACAGAAGCATCAAATCCAACACCTGACCCCCCCCCCAGCAATGCACTGCCATGTTAGTGTAAGTCATGCAAACTCTGCATCGCTGTCCTGGACCCAAACCCCACTCAGAGCGAAGGGGACATGGTTCACATCCATTATTGAAGCAAGTTAATAAAGGCTTGTGACAGAGGAAGAACTGGAGTTAGGTGTGGTGTGAGGCCTTACTATAGTTTTCACTGCCTTTGTTGATTGGTATTAACTGACATACCGCTTGGCTTTAATCTGGGATAGATTTTGTTTGGCTCAATCCTGGAATCCACTCCATCTCCGAGGTCAGTCTAATGCAGACAGAGCCAAAACAACAGACCTCACAGAAGTTATTTCAACTTCCCTAAAAGCTCTGAAGCCAATATTGAAGAAGGCCTGGAGGTTCAGACAAGCCTGGTCCTTGTTTAAAAAGGCATGACTAGATGGAGAACATTCACAGAGGAAAGAGTTGATATCCCTCCATTCAGGGTTCACCGTGGGGATGTTAGAATCCCAGACGCTGTTGGTCTCCCTCCAAACAGTGGAGGTTCAGGCAGGCAGGTGGAAGAGCCTGAAAAGGTGCTCCCCTTCTCCATCTCCATCCGCCTGCCTGCCTCCCCCCACCCCCAAGCTGAGCAAGCCCCAATACCTCTCCAGCTCCATCCATGCAAGTCACCAGATCTCTTGGAGGTCCCTGAGAGGGAACGCTCAGAGGTTGTGGGGAGGGATGCGGGAGACAACCTGATCAGGTCAACCGTCCATCTTCCCCCTTCCATCCTCGCTAGCTTTGCAGGATCCGTCTCTTTCATCCTTCCTAAGGAGTCGAGGAGCCTGGGAGAGAGGAAGAAGCAAAGGGAACCTCAGAGGCCCTGCAGGGGTTCTCTCCTAGAATTCCCCCCTGAAGAAGCACAAATGGGGCAGCCCCTTCCCAACACAAGCCCTTTTCCTAAACATCTCCAGTGGTTCCGATGTAGCCTTATTGGAGTTCACCGATTGGGTCTGCGTTGCTCCGTGACAGGAGGAAGGAAGTCAAAATGACACCGAGTTGGTTCAAAGAAAGAGTTTATTCTGCTCTCCGGATAGCAGAAGGCACTTGCGTGGTGAGTCCACAGCAAGTCCAAAGAAATGACAAGTTACATGCAGTATATATACCCTCCAGGCACCCTCTCCCTCCTTCCAACCACGTCAGCTTGTATACGTAGGTTGACAATGAAGCCTTAGCTTACAGGGGATTCATTTGCCCGCTTGCCCAGGACCGAGAACAAAAGCACCAGGGAAGCAACTTCTTCGGAGAAAAGAGTTTTATTGAGATCGGCGCAGAGGCAGCCAGTGGAATATCTTCCAAAGACTGGCGGCCCGTATACTGTGTTCAGCAAGCATTCTTATACCTGGGAGCATGCATTCATCTCCCCAATCAGCTGGCAAGGTTACAACTTATTACTTTATATGGCATATGGCTATATGGCTAGCTAAGCTCCCCTCCCTCCCTTGTATGTGTGTTCTTCTTCTCTTGTATTACTGAAGCAGGAAGCAGGAAACAGGAAACAGCTTCTGGCCTACATAGCTGAAGTAATTGTGGTTTTAACCACAGCTGCTGCTAGCTGCTTAACCACAACTGCAGCAGTTAGCTTGGGTCCTGATATTATTGAGATTAACCCTTCCCTCTCCCTTCACTCCCTCCTCTTCTTATGAACAACCTAATCCTTAGGTTCGTTCTGGGGTATGGGCCTATACTCTCTCACATATCCCATTGAACTCAGTGGGGCTTTTGGACAGAACTTGGTGGCAAAACCAGTGGCGCCCTGTCCCCAATCCTGAAAACTGCAACCCCAGAGCATGGGCAGAAAGTAGATAAGTAGCTATTACATGTGGGTGCCCCCATGCTAGGTGCTTTGAATGGAGAGCCCAGTTCACACTCTTTGAGCTCTCTCACTGCAAGCCAGGCAGATGTTGTGGCCCTATTTGCCTCTGTCAGGGGTTCCCTAGGGACCAAATCTGTATGTGGAAGCAGAGGAGCTGGTGATGCCACATTTCTGAAATATCATGAGACGAATACACCACTCCTCCTTAGATATTGTCTGTGTTTATACACAACCTTCGCAAAACTTCAGTCTCAAAATGTGGCCCCCACCCTGGCATGGAAGCCATCAAAGTATAGATCTTCCACATGTCCTAAATCTGTAGTGTTCTTAAGAACACCAGGCATGTATACCCTTTATAAACTCCAGAGGTGAGCTTTACACTCCTCTTGTGACAAGATTCCCAAAGGCTGAGGGTAGCTTGATAAAACTAGCCTCTTTTGAGACTGCACCAATTTCCATTTCTTTTTTATCAAAACTCACAGACGCTCTGCTAGATTTTTCCAGAAGGTTTTACAACTACCTTTCAAGATGGTTAGAATTTTATTACAGTCAGCCAAAAAGGATTTTATGTGTTCCATGTCCTCTCTTAATAGTACAAGTCACCCAATGACTGATAATCCCAGAAGGTTGGGAGAAGGAGTCTTTTATCCTTGTTTAGCATTTCCTGAGGATAAATCTGCTTTCACATTAGTTTGTCTACTTGTTTAGCCTGAATAGGGGAGAGACATGTTTTGTTGCATGTGGGACAGAGGAAGTGGCCCAGTTGTGCTGCTGCAGATGCAGAAGGGCTTTTCTTCTCCCTGTGCTCCTCCCATGTGCAAATGTTCCCGTCTGGCTACAGCCTCTGTTCAGAAATGTGACTTATCCCTCAATCTGAAGGGGGTTTCTTTGCATGCCCCCATGCAGTGGCGTAGCAAGGTCAGGTGTTAGCTGGTGCGGAAAATTTCCTGTCACTCCCCCCCCCCCGTTGATTTTGTTTTGACTTTATTTCATATTTTCTTACAAAGGAATGTGGATTCTGGGCCTCTGATAACAAGTAGGCCACTGGGGGCAGATACTTAAATCTACAGGATGGGTTCTGTTATTTTATTTATATTTATTGTTTATTTAATAAAGTTTATTTTTAAAAACCTGCAAAACTGTTTACCAAAACATAAAACAAAAGAAAAAATCACAGCAGTAAAATCAAGAAAAATTAACAACCCTACTTTAAAACATACAAAATCTAAACTATTAAAACAGATTAAAATTCCTTCAGCTTCCCAAGCATCTGAGTAAGCTTGCCTAAACAAGACTGCTTTTAGCAGGTGCCTGAAAAGAGTCTAGCAAAGGCACTATTTATTGGGATTTCACCATGCTCTGTATTATCTGAAAAGGAAAACATTTATTTAAAAAGCAAGACTGCACAGCCTGGGAGTCTCATCATGATCAGCAGGACTTACTTATTCCTGAGCCGACGGAGCATAAGATGGGCTAGAATCCTATGCACCCCCTGCATCCAACTTGTACCTAAATATCTTCACAAACCTGCACCAGAGAGTTGCAGAGTAGGAAGGGACCCCTGAGGGTCATCTAGCCAACCTCCTGGGGCAATGCAGCAATCTCCACTAGACCATCCCTGACCGATGGCCATCCAGCCTCTCCTCTGTGTGCCTTCTCCATGAGAGGTCTGGGTGCTGGCAACACAAAATCGAAGCTTTTCTGCAGTGGTTCCCCATTCGGGGGAAGGTCTCCCAAGAGAGGCTCGCCTGGCCCCTTCCTGACATCTTGAGGTGCCAGGCAAAAACCTTTTTCTATAACTGGGTCTTTGGCTGGTTAGCATTCTATGGCCTTTTCAATATGTGTTTCGTTATGTGTTTGGTGTTCTAATTTTGCATGTTTATGTTGTGAATTGCCCTGTAAACTTTGGATGAAGGGCAGGATACAAATTTAACAATAACAACAACAACAATAATAATAGCAGCAGTGAACAGCTACAGCCAATCAGGGGTGCCAACTTGAATAAAACATTAGGAGGGAGCAGGCATTGGGCATAGCCAGGATTTATGTTAAGGGGCAGAATCTCAGTCAATTAAGGATTTAATTCTCCCCATCGGACGTCCATGGACCCAAGTAAGCCCCACCCTGCAAAGCTGATCCCAAGATGCAGCGTGCACACACCAGTTGAATGGCAATGCCCATTAATGGGGGGGGGCTCAAATATTTCATGGGGGAACCAAAGGGACCTCGGTGCCCTGGGGTATGCCAATCTATGAGGAAGAGAAGCAGGCTTTGTTGCTCTCTCTCCCACCATCCCCCCTCCCCACTTTTTGGCCTTCGTTTCTACATCATTCTGGCAGGCAGAAATCCAGCAGGTCAGGAGGATTTCCTGTCAATATTGTTGCTGGAATGTTTGCAGTGACTGTGAGCTTCCATTGGATCATTGTAATGGATTGCATCACATTGCATTTGAATTATGGTGCAGAGTCCCATCGACTGCAAGATGATCAAACCTTTCCATTCTGAAGGAAATCAGCCCTGAGTGCTCACTGGAAGGACAAATCCTGAAAATGAGGCTCGAAGACTTTGGCCCCCTCATGAGAAGAGAAGACTCCCTGGAAAAGACCCTGATATTGGGAAAGATGGAGGGCACAAGGAGAAGGACGAGATGGTGGGACAGTGTTCTTGAAGCTACCAGCATGAGGGAGGCAGTGGAAGACAGGTGGGCCTGGCGTGCTCTGGTCCAGGGGGTCACAAAGAGGCGGACACGACTCAACAACAAGAACGGATTGCTTTGAAGGGATTTCTGCACCAAGTCAAGGAATCTGTAGCCCCCCAGTTACACTCCGCCCCCCCCTGTATTTTGCCCCACCAAAGGTGCAACTCTA